ATATATTTTTTATATATATATATATATATATATATATATATATAAATATTAAAGTATGCATATAGATATTCAAGTGTGAACATATGAAATGTTTTATTTATTGTAATGAAAGTATGAAATGTATATTTAAAATGCTAAAGAAAAATGATTCATGCCTTTTGGAAACTTATGGAAAATAGGGAATTCCCATAATTCCCTTTGTGAACCCATCTCATTGGTTAAAAAAATAGAATAAAATAAAAACTTAATATGTTTCTTATGTAGCCTATATCGTAGCGTTTTATGGCATTATTTTAGTTTAGTCTTTCTTTGTGGTTTAACACGATCTTTATGTTATTATAATACATAATAATGTAATAACTCTCTAACTTTATTGTTATTATAAAATTTAAAGTCACCTAAATTCCATCCGCAGTGTTGTTAATATGCCTAATATAGCAGCAGTTCCAACACATGGCTCACGTTTCTTGTGTTTAAAGTCTTTTTGAGAATAAGAATAATTTCTTTCGCCGTCTCCGATAAATGTGAAATGGCAGCTGAAAGCATATGTTAAATCCAGCGTTACCTTGCTTTATAAATGTTTTAAATGATATATTCCAAGTATATATCGATTAAACACACTTATTTTGAATTATAGCGCAGCGCAAGCTGTGTCTTTAAGCGGGGAGTTGTGTTCGTCCGACAGGAGGCGTGTCTCCTCCACAGAGCCGAGCGGCTCCTCCATCTGAACACATGAACTACTGCTCCCACTGTACTCACACTTCATCAGCCTGAGCTGCTCTCAACAACTGAGGTAAGGACACTTATCTTCACCGTCACCACACTTTTAGCGGCTCTTACGTTGCTTTTAAATGATCTAATTTAGACATCGAAACGACTGAAGTTCAGCTTAAATTTCACAGCTGGGACGGAACAGTTGATCTGATGTGACTGCTGCATGTGCTTCTTTTTTAACCTAAAAAAATGACAGAGGCAACAATTACACTGAACTCTTTATGTCCTTAACAAAAAAACAAACCAAAAAAAAAAAACCGTTGTGGTGTTATGATACCTTTTTTTCTCTCGTCCACCTTAATTACAAAGAGGCTTATGGTGACTTGTAAGTTAATAAAGCATATTGAGACCCCGGGTTCGACTGCACGATCCTAGTTTAAAATGCAGTGATCCCCCCCCACCCCTTCTCTCTTCTCTCTTCTCTTTCTGCAAATCCACATGCACGTTATGTCTGTTGAGAGGTTGAAAGAAGCATCACTAAGTTATTAAATATGCCCTTGCCAGGAAATAGTGTGTCACTGCTGTTGATGAGTCTTTTATCATCACTTGAATGACTTTTGTGGGAACCATCACTTATGGAGAGACATTTCAATTCAGACTTTAACAACGATCTTCTGGACGTTTGAGCAGATAAACACATATAACGCACACGTGAAAGAAATCCAAAAGCAAAACTATGGGTAAAATAACGTATATACTTAGACTATACACAGCAAACATGACGTTTCATACTGTATGAGTTGCCAGAGTGATTAGTTAGCGGATCATCATATGGTGTGAAAAGACACACACACACACACACACACACACACACACACACACACACACACACACACACAAATACACAATTTATCATTATGAAATAAAATACATTTTTACTATTTTCTTAAACATATAAGATTAATTAATTATTCTTTCCGTATTTTTGCAGAAAATTAAAATCATAGAACACACCTCTTAAATTCACACACAAGGTGTATTCATTACGTTTGCATTTTATTGGGTTGGCCTGTATACAATACACGGACATTTCTTGGAAGAAAACAAAATCTTAATGGTCGATCTGAAAGGATAAAAGAGTGTGTGTTCCTGCAGCTGTGAGGTGATGGCAGCTGATTCCGTACAAAGCGATGTGAATGCGGACACTGATGAAATACAGTAGAGTGGATTGAGGAGCCTCTGTCGTCGCTGTCCGTGGTGCTGAAAGCCACCAGCGCTCACATGAGCTCAAGGCAGTCTATTCTAGTGCACATCTTAAGCCTATTTTGAAAGTAGGGGCACAATCGAGGTCTTTTTAATTTAAGTTGCACAGGGCTCGTCCTCATTTGGCCCTTTCCTGGTTTTAAAGGCCCCCAGACCTCAAAGAGCACCACATAGCCGCAGCTCTCGTCATATATATATATATATATATATATATAGCGAGTGTGTCGGAGATAGCGTTGGTAGTTCAGACAACGTATTTTGTGGAATAATAGAACAGTCGAAGAACTTGCATGCACACACACACAAACACACAGAGGTTTGTTTTTGTGAAAAGTGGGGACATCCCTTAGGCGTAATGGTTTTTATACTGTACAGACCGTATATTCTATTGCCCTACACCAACAATAAATCATGAACATTTACATGGGATCTCCTTTCAGAATATTACTGTCATTTTTGACAGTAGTTCAAGTTATCATAGTTTTATTGTAGCTAATCTATGTGCAGTAATTATTTCCCCCCCAAGACTGTTAGGCTATTTATTATTATTATTATTTGCAAAGTAATGGCTTTTTCGAGAGCAGTTATATATATATATATATATATATATAAAATAATAAATAAACAAGTGCCATTTCAACATTTACACGAAAGCACGTGCGTTGTAGGGTTTGCTTTTCGTCTAATGCAACTGCAATCATTTGTTTCTGAAACTATGTAAAAAAAAAAAAAAAATCTTGCATGAAA